ATGCAAGAATCTTATATTATAATTAAGCACCATGTTGCCGCAAGCAGTACAAGAAACTCATGTTTGTTAATTAAGCTTTGCAATTATGATAACAGTATAAAAACTTCGTATTGTAACTAACATATTAATTTTATAAAACTATATAAACAACATAAACAAACTCCCTCAATATATATCCTTGAACCTTGTTTAATCAAGAAAAATAAATTGAAACCCGTAAAAAATAGAAAAAAACGCCAGTCTAAACACTTTGTGCATTAATAAAGACAATTTTACTCGTATGACTCTATCTTAAGCCTGCCATAAAGGAGCCCTAATCTTAGGTAATATTAGCAGTTTTTTCGTCTGTTTTTTTTAGACGTCGATGAATTCATTTAAAAATGATTTTACGCGAAACTGATTTACAAAAATTACGGTCAAACCTCTCTACAGTCACGTCCTCGATTCCAAGAAATTCTGTGCTTATAAGAAATTATGCCTATATAGAGGTCAAATTTCTTATGTTCTAGGCCACGTAAAGTTAATTTTTCGTTTTACATCCATTTTTTCAATTTTTCAATTTTGCTATTTAATTTTTCTATCAATTGTATCTGATATCACCCGATAGAGACCTTGGTATCCCGGAATTCTCCGATAGGACCGATAGAAAAAAAATCTCAGCACTGACCCATTTTTCCTCGCTAATATTGTGTTTTTTTCTGTTATTTCTAGATTTAAATGTTCTGAATGTCCTGATTATGACTTATGCTTTAATTGTATCGCAATATCCAACCTTCTTCATAATACGCAACATCATTTTCTGAAGATCTTGAATCCCTTAGATCCAAAGGAAACGCCAAAAAGTACTTCTACAGCTTCTGTTACTATTTCTCCAATACTACCAGACACGAAAGAGAAATTATTAGCTCTGCTACGTGAAGAAGAACGGCGAAGACATTCACCCGAACTGCAACAAAAATATTATGATGTTGGGAGCGATCCTACATGTGGAAAGGATTGGATGGATGTTACTGATCAGATGCAGCATGAGTTGGTTCGAGAGTTTGGATACTCTGATGAAGCAGTACAATTGCTGCGGCGTGCGCCAGAGCTTTATCCAGGTAAGGAATGTATACTTTCTTTTCTTTGCTTTCTTACGAGCGATATTTTATCTTAATATCCTTTTCTCCATCATCAAGATGATCCCGAATTCCGAACAACTCAAGTATATGTTCGCAATAATATTGCTAATATTGGAAACCTCACTGAAGGAATGCCAGCACCTGATTGTCTATTGGTTCCACTAGATTCTACATCAACAATCGATAACAGTAGTACTAATTCGCCAACTTTAATTCATTTAAATTCACTTTATAAATCAGGACGGCCTCTTGTTCTTCTTGGTGGATCATATACTTGTCCTTTATACCGATACATATCTCATGTGCTCAATGATATATATAATATATATAAAACATCGGTAGATTTCTATATGATTCAAATTCGAGAAGCGCATGCATCTGATGTTTGGCCTATTGGTAATATTGTAGATGTTAAGGAGCATCGCACATTATCCGACCGTTTAACTGCTGCACGTCAAATGGTTAAAGAGACCAAGTTGGAAATTCCTGTACTTGCAGATACAATGAATGATACTTTTTTAAAATTGTATTCACCATGGCCATTCCGATTTTTTGTCGTTGTAGATGGTATTTTAAAACTTGTTGGAATGCCAAAGGAAGCTCGTTATGATACAACAGATCTAGTTGAATGCTTAAATGGTCTTTTATCTAGAAAAAAACGCCAGTCTAAACACTTTGTGCATTAATAAAGACAATTTTACTCGTATGACTCTATCTTAAGCCTGC